TTACTTTCAAATGATGATGATGATGACCTTAGTGTGACCTTTCAAATTTACTCTTCATTAAAAACGAAAAAAAAAGTATCATTTTCTCTCTTTTTTTGCTTTTTGTTCCAAAAAACAAAAAAAAAAAAGTAAATAAATAAAAGAAAGGAAAAGAATGCCAACAAAAATAAAAAAAGAGAGAAAAAGATAAAGAATATATAATTAAATAATTAAGTACGGAAGTTCTTTTTTTTTGATGAAATAAATAAATAATAGAGCATTAAAAAAAAGGTTTATAATTTCAAATAAAAAAGTTTAATTTTCTTTTTGTTAATTTAAATTTCAATTTGTTGGCAACATTACTGTAAATTATTTGCAGATTTAATAATATTAATATAGTTTAAAATCTATAATAAATATGCATGAAATGATAATTTTAGATTAGAAAATGCAAGAATTATTATTTTGTTTTGTATAATATCAGTTATTATTTGGAATAATCATTTATTTGTGAAACTCTTGAAAAACCAAAAAAAAAAAATCACCAATTTTATCATATAAAATATAAAATATTAGCAGTACGGTAGCTAGCATTGCAAATATTTGTCGAACAATTACTTTTATAATTGATGTGATAATTTTCCTGCTACATTCCATCCTTTTTTGTTTTTATTTTTCTGTATTTTTCATTCATTTTAAAGAACAAACAAATAGTTAAAACAAAAAACAATTAAACAATTAAACAATTGAAATTGATCAATTAAATGAATTATTCATTATTTTCCTTTTCATTAATCATTATCCTTGTTTTTCTTTTTTCTTCTAATCTTATAGAATCAATAAAGGAATAAATGAATAAGCAAATAAATAAAGAAACAAACCAAATAAATAAATAAACAACTAAACAAATTAAATGAAAATAAATGAAAAGAGTAGAAATGCCGCAAAAAAAAAAAAACATACAAAAAATTGGAATTTAAATTTGAAATATCCTTTAAATCTTACCATTTAAAAAATTGATTTTAATAATAATATAGCTAAATTATTCATGATTATTATTATTAACCCGTTATATACATATATATATATATATATATATTTGTTTATTTATAGAAATAATTCTCATACAAAAAATCACTCCATCTAAAATTCAATATGATTGTTTAAAAAAAATAAACCCTTAAGGCAATGCAAGTTTATTGTAATACAAATAGTTTAATTTTATATAATAATTTTCGGAAAAAAATTTATTATATTGGAATAATCATATTCTCTCTCTCTCTTTAGAACGTATTTTTAGGATTTGCAAAAATAATAATTTAAAAATCGATTAATAACCTGCAACATTTCTTGCATATGCATATATTGTAAGTAGATTAAAAGGACAGGTAAGATAATATAATACTTCAATAAAACTTTCCACTTTTTTCTTGCAAGTATCACAAGTTTAGTATGAAACTTTATAATTGGTAACAGGTTTACTTATTTAATGAATCTAACCATTAATTATTAATAAACTATTGGTAAACTTTCCCGGTAAACATTTCCATATACTTCTAGGGAATTTTCCCTCCCATTATTTAGTGCACAGAATTTGGCACTCACAATATTTGCAAATTATATCTCATAGTTTTGTTTTATGATTTACATTTTACGCAACATTACATATTTACGACAATTATTTGCGAAATTCGCTCGACCGCGATATGTGGCAAGGAAGTAATATATTTTCAGGAATATGACACCATCTGTACTTTCGAGAATTTCATACTGATTAAACATTATTACTATTCCTGTCACGGTGATAAATATTTAACCCAAACAATAAACATTAATTGTTGTTGTTATAGAACTATTGTTGTGCGTATTGCTTCAAATAATTTATAAGAAAACATTTTATAATTCTATTGAGAGAAAAAAAAACGGTAAAAAAGAACCATTTTGTATGAACAAAAATTCGTTTGTTTTTAGAGACAACACACAATACAACAAATATAAAGTGTCACATTAATAGGAAAAAAGAAATCAAAAAAAAGCAAACAAACGATGTAGCCAAATTGAAACATTTTCAGTTTAAAATAAAAAGAAAAAAAAATCAATTGTAAACACAATGGAACTTATTAAGAGAGCAAAAAAAAAGATATGAGGAAATATTATAATTAAAACATTGATAAATTTATAGCATCATTTCACCTCTTTTCTTTATTGCATAAATATGAATATAACTGATAAATTTTTTTTTCCTTTCTTTAACTACTTGGTATAAGCAATTCTTTGAAATATTTTCGGGAAAGCACTTTTATAAATCTCCAATTCAAATATCAGTTAACTTCATATGTTAGAATATTTTCCGAAACAACAATTAAATGCACGAAAGATCATCGTTAATTTTCGCAATTAACAAACCTTTCTAACTTCCTTTCAATCATTATTTTTGTAACTGCGCTAAGTAATAACGTACACATACACACATAAATACAGATACACACATACGCACACACACACACATACACGCACATACACGCGTGTAGCCAATAACCGATATCACAGATAACCCAAATTAAAAGAGAATGTAGAAAATAAATGAAAATGAAGGGGAGACAAAGAAAAAAAAGAGAAATAGTTTATCTTTTTGCAGGATAAAAGATAGAAAAAAAGGAATTTTATCGGATGGAAAAACAAAGGAGAAAAAATTACTATTTATAGTGCTGTTGAACATAGTAATAATCGTCAAAATATTATCAACTATTTGTAACGTAGAAATTGAAATCTGTACAAAACCAGGCATTCCAATGATGAACAAAAATTGCAAAGGAAGCAATATTGTAATGACTCAAAAATTTACAATTCAAAGACACGAAATTAATTAATCATGCACATTAATTAATTCATTAGCTAATCGGTAAAACGGCTTGATAGAGCAACTTGACAATTTGAAAAAAGGTAAAAAAAAACAAACAGTAACATAATCGTATAAAAGTAATTCAAACTTTCTGTCCACTCACTTATTACCTACACCTTATCCTATGTTATTCATGTATTAAATGCTAAAAATCATAAACAATTATAATCGTTATAGTACTTCCTATATCATTTCCACTATTACTAGAGAGAAAAAAAGATTGCCCATCACGTATCCCAAGCTACAGTCTAAATATTTCCATAAATTATTGCAAATCATGATCCTATCAATTTCCAAATGGAGAACAAGAGTAAAATTCAGCACATATACTATATAAAAAATTCTAAGATTGAGGTGTTAAAAGTTATTTGATGAAAGCATCATATCTTACGACATATAATACCAAATAATATAATAAACTCACCTTAGTCTATCTTTTCCATTTCATAGCCCCGTGAAGTAGCAACATTATGTTAATTTCTTCCATTCTTTACCACCATTTTTTGTAATATATCCAACATATCCTCTCATCTTAATAACTATAAATCTTAAATCATATTGAAAACCTGAAATGATGCTTCCATCATCAAGTTGACTTCTCTTCTCTTCGAAGAAATATGAAACGCTCTAACAAATCCAAATGAAAAATCACACACAGGTACGTACGCACACATACACACACGCACACGTGCAAACGTACAAAGACACACACACACAGATGTACACATATAATAAATACACACACACGCACACAAATACATACACACACACATATACACACACACACGCACACATACACACACACACACACACACACACACACATACGTCCATACATAAGAAGATGGAGGCAGCCACAAAATATGAAAAACATATAAAATTATTATAAAAGAAAAACAAAAATTATAGCGAATTGTAGAAAAAAAGCTAATTATACATACATATACTGACAATAATATCTGAACATCATTTTTTCATTTTATGTACGAATATTAGACGTAACATACGCCAATGCCCTATTATATACATATATAAGCACATATTGAACAACTTCAATCTTCCCTTCCATGCACTTTCATTCTTAATAAAAAGAAAAAAAAGTGCTAGCGTTTATTTAAACTGCTAGCGTTCCTTTAAGCTAAATCAATAGCAGAAAATACTAGTAATAATCGTAATATTGATCATAACTACAGTAATAATAACAGTTTACTGATAAAAACATCGCCATGGATAGTAACGCACTGACAACAATATTAGAAAAATTTTTTCTTCAGGCACCAAACGGCAATAAAATACAAGTACAATTTGCTTAAAATTATGCGCAAGCTAACTTTTCTCCATATTACCCGTACTCTTACCACCCTTTATCGTTTATAATCAGCAGCATCATTATATTTCCTAGTAAATTTGAAACAAATATCCCAAAACTTGTATTAGTTTACTGAAATCGATTTCTACGAATTGCTTCTTCCATTTTTTTTTCTCTTTCTCTCTCTCTCTCTCTCCTATATCCCGACACAGCTATACAAAAATTAGAAGCCTACACACAAAAAAATGGAAAAAAATCTATAAAAAAGCAACGGATGAATGGGGCATACCTTCATGATAATTCACTTTGCACTGTATTCGATTTCAAAATTTTACCGTAAAATTTGTCAGATCAAAGTGCTGAAATAGAGTAGATGGTAAAAGTAAACAAAAATAAGGATTAATTGTAATAACAATAAATATAATCTCAGATCATCAGAATGACATTCTTTTCACTGCGTGAAACATGTAAGAATACAGCCTAAATGGGCATAATAAATTATACATAGCAATAAGACAAATAAAACAACAACCAACAATTATAAGAGCTAAACAACAAAATGAGCCGTCATTGAAAAAGGATCACCCGCTTTGGCAGCACTATGTGTCAAAGAAACAAAGATAACAAACAAAGTGGCAAACAAGGGAGCAACCGGACAGATAAACACGTAGATCAATACACCGTCAACAACAGCGCATGGTGAATTTAACAAACCCAGTAATTTAATTTCTTAAAATCTCGGGAACTTGAAAATTGCAAACTAAACAGAATATAAAAAGAACAACTCTTACCTTCTCTTTTCTTGTTACTTCCCGAAACAACGAAGGATTCCGAAAATATTTGGAATTTTTGCGCATTACCTGTTCCTCTAACTAGCAAAACAAAAACAAGAAAGAATAACGATAGTCGCATTGTGTTATCTGTATGGTTGCTGATCTTGATTAACTGCTCCTTGCTGCATTTGCTGTACACCAGGCTGCGTCGCACCAGGCTGCATCATTGCTGATTGTGTGACATTGCTGACGGATGGAGAACGTCCAACGGGTGGTGAACGAACCTTAAACATCACCTCCAACATATACACATATGGATTTACATAATTATGAATGAATTATTATGAACATGTATCTGAAATCTGAAAATATCATTAAAAAATCTGCAGAATCCTAACACTAAAATATATCATTCTTCTTTCCAATTCATTAAAACAAAATTTATTGAAATTTATTATTTCAATTACTGCTTTCCCACTGCTTCATTACCCTATATCAAAAAACTGAAAAAAGCTAAATCGTAAAAGATGGTACAAATCGACTACCTGACTGAACTGAGACTGCATAGCTGGGCTTACAGGTTGTGGGTTCCGTTGGAACTGTTGCTGCCACTGCGGTTGTGTCATTGCAGTACCGGCCATTTGACCCTGTGAACTCATCGATGCATACTGACCACCGGGGCCGCGGGGTTGCTGTTGGCCACTTTGTGACACCTGCGATTGCTGATGTTGGTAATATTGTTGCTGTGAAACTGTCCCTTGTTGCCACTGCCCACTTTGCTGAGTTACCATCTGAATATTATAAAGAAATAGTGGTTAAACAACAGCATTAAACTAATCAAACGCATGGACATTTTTTTTTGACAGCCCAACAATCTACATCCAATTACCACGTAAATAAAAGAGAAATCCGGAAAATTCAAATTTCCCCTTGAATAATCTGAAACAGTTATCCTAATACTTTGCCCAATTCTAATGCCTTAAATATGATTATTGAAATCCAAAAAATTACTTGAGGTTGTCTTATCATTCCCTGTTGTTGTTGATGCTGTTGTTGTTGCTGTTGTATGGCACTAAGTTGTTGTTGATTTAAACTTTGTGGGATCTGCAAATTAAGTCAGTCATTTTTATTTATAATTATAAAAGACGAAGGGAAATTTTCTTTAATACTGCTTAATACTGCTTGGAAAAAAAAACAATAACATGTTTCTCTTCAAGATCGCAAGGAAATATGCTAATTATTTGAAAATTCTGGAACTTACATCTCCACCACTCCTTTCATTGCTCGTCATTTTGATGAAAGCAGCAAAAAGGTGAGGCATTTTCTTCAGATCATTCAGTACTTTATCTTTGTCTTCCGCTCGTTCTGCATTTTTAAACCTCGTTAATATTGCTTGTACCTGAGGATCTTGCTGTAACGCAGTACGATCGATCGGTTGTCCAGTATAAACTTTCGCTGAAAATAGTGATAGCAATTCAATCCGCAGCGCTCTTGGAAAATTCTAGGAATTCTGAACTTCACGAAGGGAACATAAAATTTAAAAAGGAGAATAAAGGAAAGAATTCCAAAAAAAGACCTCGTAAATTCTGCATTCCCTGCTGCATTATTGGCTGTGATTGTGAATTCTGCGCCATGGACTGTCCAAGCATCATTGGTTGTCCGGTATTACCTCCGTAGCTAGAGGATGGTCCTGCTGTTGCAGACATACCACAGGCGTTTTGCTGAGTAGCACCACGTCCATATGGTGGAGGATTCATCGGCTGTTGTGCATGTTGCATTTGTCCAACCATTCCGGGTCTTTGTATTCCACCCATTTGTGATGTCTAACATGGAAAAAAAGTGGTTAGTTTATTTTATGTAAGTTTATATCAAGCGTTTATTCCCCCCTTTAAACTTAAAGTTAAATTGAATTTACTTGTCGGCATTTCCCTTCTACATACTTTTGGTCATTGAAACACTTGGGAAAGAAAAAAAAAGACATTATGAGCAAACCATATTCATGCGTACGCCTTGCTGATGTGGAGCCTGTTGCTGTTGAACTTGTGATATTGTATGGCTTTGCTGCATTGTTGTGGGTACACCCATCATATGTATTTGTGAACTGCCTTGCACAACACCACCTGCAAAAATGCAAAGCATCATTAGCGGTAACAACAATAATCAGCAGCATGTATGCACTCATCTCTGAATAACTTGCAGTGACGTAACATATCTTATTACTGAATAGTACTTCATTTATACTGATTTACTGGTACACTTGATCCGAACTTTTACTAAATTTATTACTAACAAACCACCAATGATGTCAACGGAGAATGATATGGTTCAAAATACCGGTTGCCTTTATCATTTCAACGCGTTATAATAAGTGTTACGACATAAGAAAATCTCAGGGTACTGTCATAATGGATAAAAATACTGTTAGAATGAAATGGAATGCTGCTAATTCAGCCAAACTGCTAGTAGCTATCATTAACCAACAATCTTCTCACAGCAAATATAAGCTTTCGAAAATGCACCAGGACCGCCTATGATACTTCCTTGAGAAAACATTATGCTAATCACTACCTATATCAGTCCACCTACAAGATGTTACCGAAAATAAAGTAGTGACTAACTTTAAATAAATATTACTCCTAATTCTTTTTTACGACCAACGCCTAACCTTTCCCATGTGTCTGGTACTGATGTGGCTGTAACTGCTGCATTTGTGTCATTTGCTGCTGGCCGGATGGCATTACGCTCTGCGGTTGTCCCATTTGCATGTGCTGCATATGTGTCATACCCGTACCCTGATAGGTCTGCATTGGTCCAGCACCATGATGAGCCGCCACGGTCTGAGACATATTCATCGCAGTTGGCCCTGAAGGATGCACATCATAAAATTCCGCTGATTCTGAAAAATCGTAATTCTCCCTTTCTCTCTTGTTTGTTCTCTCTCATCTATAGCTGAGATCCATCCAAAAATCTCCGAATTACGGGAATCCAAAAGTTGAAAAATATAAAATTATGAAGAATATGAGTCATGTAAACATTCTGTAAATGATACGGCAATGACAAATGGATCCTATGGATGTCTAAACGCAAGTAGGATCTAGCGAGTGGCCAAAACAATGTCAAAGTTATGCCATCGTTAAGTCTCAGTCTCGAGAATTAGAATTAGCAAATAAACAACACTAACCGCTGGACTGCGAGGCACCTGGTGTGTTGGTTCCACCATAACCACTAGAAAGCATATCCATGCGTCGACGCATCATCATGTCAGCACGACGATTCTGTGACCTTCGTTGTTCTTGTAGTTTCTGGCGAATATTTAAGCAGAATGGAACCTAAAAAAGGGAATTAAAAAATTCAAACCTAGTTCGAAAACGAAGGGAGTACATAAACAAAAACAAGCACATCCTGAAAGCCTTTTTTACGAAAAGTTAGTACTTTCAACAGCCCCAAGAAGCATACTTATCTATCAGACATCCGCAACGATGGTTGAAATTACCTGGCATGAAGTCCCGTTGCAATGCTTGGCATGATAGCAACACAGAGCAATGAGTTGTTTGCAAATAGCACAATTTGCATTTTGGCGCTTTTTGCAACCTTTGGTGTGTTGCACAACACGCTTCATTTTGTGACATGTTGAGCGGCGACAATTTGCATCGCGACATTGACATGCGTGTACCAGTGATTGAATGCAGCGCTGTAATACAAGTTTATAGAAACAATGGATTTTGCAAAAATCTAGAATTTTGAAACAACCATAGAGCATAAATTTCCACACTCGAAACTCCGGAAAAAAATTATACTTGCCACAAAAACCAGAAAATTATGTTACCTGAATACTTTCAGTTCGTGAATTGCTTGCATCATGCTTATCTTCCACTTCCATCAGTGTACTGACTTTCTCCAGCTTGTGCGGATGCGACATTGTTTCATAGCATTTGTTGCAAAGATCGAAATCCTGCAAAAAAAAAAGTTTAAAATGATGAAATGGACGAAACAGCACCTAAAAATCATAACCTTTCATATTATTTAAAACTTACTTCACAAGTTGTACAATGCCAAATAGCTGTTCCTTGGCAACTATTGCAAGTGTACGAAAGTCCTTCGCTTTTTTCCTGATTGTGCAATGCATGGCAAAAGCATATTGTGGAATATTTGGCGCGTCGTAATGAAGAAAACTCCCAGTGTTCATCACGAGCACGTGTTAAGAATGTATCACGCCCATCCATAAGATCACTTGCTATTAATGGATCGGGATCCTGAAAAAATCGCCGGATACCTAGCTCTTCTAAAACTGCTGAAAAATGAATAAAAGCTGACTCAGCATCACACGAAGTTTGCAAAGAATCACGTAACAAATACTGATCTTCAATTCATGACGTTTCAACAGATTAATTCGCTATGCATTTGCAACCCAATCACATACATAAAAATTAAGTTCAACAACCGTTTTCGTTACTTCCTCTCCTTCCCCCACTATTATACTAGTGATATCAACCATAATATTCTTTCGGCCAACCTGATCATGAATAAATCATCTGAAGAAACTTGTTTTACGACTGTTGAGACTGATGGCTTGTTGATTCTAGCCAAATGATCAATTTGTCGACACAACATACCTTAATTTCGTTGTTTTGTGCTGATAATTCCGATTGCGGGCTCATAAGTCGAATAGTAAAGAAGACTTCCTTATGTTTCTCGAAGTTTATATACAACTTATCGGTGACTTCATTGCCGGTCTGTGAACAAACCTTTTTCTTGTTCTTCGAGTTACCCTTTTTCAAATTGTTCTTCTTTTTGCTGAAATGAGGAAAATCCCAAATTCCTTTAAATAGTAACATTTCTAGACTTTGTTATTGAAACAAATCATGGAGATTTTCTCTTCAGTTGTTGTCATTCAGATCCTTTTTCATAAGTTATGTCGCCATCATTAGCTCCCATATATGCTTATTTAATAAAAAGATTAGCATCATTTATTTACATGCCCATCTATTCACAACAAAACGATTATTATCACCTGTTCTTTTTACTTTTCCCGTTATCTCCATCATGAAACATATCATCACCATCTTCATCCTCAGCATGTTGTTGTTCTTGGCGTGCCGCTTCCTCTTGACGCTTGCGTTCCTGTTCCTCATTCTGTGCTTCACGAATGCAATCTTCAATTACATTGGGCCAAAAATCCCCTTCGAAATAGGACAGTTCCATCGGCGTCACCAAATTCTCATCTCGTGCCTACGGAAAGTAAAAAATAAATTTCAGGTATTTTATTTGAACTAAACTCTCAAGATCATCGCAAGAATAAACTAACTGTAATACGAGTCTTTCCAATAAGGGGAGAGAGGGGAAAGAACAAGACTGTTACACTCAGTAAACTCATCTACGTTTAATTCTTCAGTTGAGTAATATTAACTGAAGGGATATTGATAAATATATAAATATAATTAGAGTAGAAAGAGTATGCTTTTTGGAACAATACAATTCTAATTGACAAATTTATAAATCAAGCTCAGATACTCACTTGCTTGTATATATCTTTGTAATCAAAAACCGTATGCTCGCCAACACCTTTATCAAGCATTTTCTTATACCAATCTTGAAGGCGTTTGGGTTTCGGTATTCGCTGTTCTGGTGGATGACAGTGGAAAATGTAGTCGTCACCCTCTGATGGTGGACATGCCCAAATGTGAGCCATTGTATAACCCAACATCATTGCATAATTTAGATAACCCAATAAAATCTCGTGGTATACTTCTGTACGTAACTGTCGGGGTTGAAAGAAATGCACTGAATCCAGGTAGGCTATATATACTCGTCTGGAAAGTGATACAGTTATAAAATATCAACGATGGGCCACCATCCATCACCACGTACAGTTAAAATATTTTGGAACTTATTTGAAAACTGAAAATCCTAAACAAATCTGACCAAGCAATCACTGAGATCCCAAAATCTAATACCTTTTATTTGGTGGTGGACAATTACTTCCATATTCCTGCACATGCAAACCGAAAAAGCAAACTTCAACACCATCAATGACCTCGAAAGCAAAAATTGCTTTTGTTCGATATGGAAATTTTTCCGGAAAACCAAGAGGTCCGTACCTGAAAATTCGCCAATTCGTCTTAGGATGTCTAGTAGATCCTCCCAAAACTATATATTATCCTACAAGTAATCGGTAATTCTCCTAAAACTCGATAAGAACCATTATCTGTTCGATGAAAGTACAAATTGACTAGGTACTCAAATATTACAGTTGTCAAAATTTATGATGCCTATAAAATGTCATCTTACTTCTGTTTCATCAAAGGTTTCACTTCCACTTCTTTGTCAGCTGCACAAAGTACACGAATGATAACTTCATAATCTTTGCCAGCAGGATTATTCTTCATAAATTTGTTGACGCGTTCCTCAATGAATCGTGACAATTGGCAATGCGGTAATTTCTTGGCTGTAAAACGATTTTCTGCCGGCGCCAAATTTTTCTCACGGCGACATGTCGCGCAAATGAATCCTTCTGGAAAAACCTGGAACAAAATGGAATGAAAAAAGAGCAAAGGAAAATGAAATACTGAATGACACAGGTTGGTAAATGATAATAACTGAGAATAATGTGTAAAAAGTTGAATGATTATGCTGATTGTTAATTTATATTTTCTCTATTTTTTCCCTGTATGCCTTTATTAATAACCATTTCGTGTCAGATGTTTGGCACCATCTTATGCTTGTATCTAATCTTTATTTCTTTTAAATTCAGGGAAAACCCGTGATTATCATGTTCGAACATAAATATGAAAAAACCATAGAAACCCATACTCTAATGCAGTTGACAGAAAAACAAGCCTGAAAGATTACCAGTTAATATTAAATTTTATTCAGAACTGCTGTGCATTTGTATCCTCTTTTAGCATCATCAGATTAACTTGGGCAATAGCATAAGCAAGTAGTAAACGACTTACTTTCTTGTTGAAAAGCGCGCATACTCGATGCCATTTTCGGAAACACTTTATACATTTTTCAAATGGCTCGAAATCAATCTGATCGTTTTTCATTTGTACGAATTTCGATTTTGGGACCATACTGCAAGGAAAATTAATTTATTGTGACCTTCATGGGATGCTTTCCGACATTCCCAGAAATGATTCATGTTAATAAAAAACTTCTGGTCAAAAAACTCGTCAACTCAAATTGTAGAGGGTAAAAAACTGTAGACTTGATATGTCTATCAAGCTTACTTAGATGTATCATTTGGATTCTCACTCAAACTTATGCCACTTTCCGGTAAAGCTTCAAAACATTTCGTACAATACGTATAACGCTCCGAAACTGTCACACCATACTGGGTTGATCTGAAACATGTAACAAACAATAATTATTCCTGTTAAATATTTTCCCATTATCATTCGTTGCTCTTTGTTTAGATAGTAGTTTTAAAACTTATAACTTTCAATACGCTCATTTTTTAATTTTGTTTTTATAACAAGAAAAAGAAGTCTCCTTAAGTGGTTAATATTTCGGTATCAACAATACTTGAAGTGAAAAAATAAATATGAAGATTCAACGCAATGAATTAAAAAATTCAGAAGATAAATTACGTTGTCTCATAAACATGGTATGTCTGATCACGTGCAATGGTACACATTGATTGGCCATAACAAAACAAAGCCAGCGGTGTAAACGACAATTTTTGTCCACAGCAATAACCCATTTTTTGCATTACAGGATTAATTTCCTCCACAAAGACTTCACTCAACTACAAATAGCTTCCGTTTAATCAGATTTTAAGTCCAAATTTTAAAATTGAACAACAAGTCGTAAAACCTTATTATGACTCGAAAAACTTTGATTTAACTGCTAGATCGGCGGATTCTATTTACGCAACTAGCTCACTGATTACCTGTACAAATATTTTGCTATTTTTCGCATATATTTATATCTACAAATAATATAACAATCTCCAGCATTCTTTTTTTCCTATATCCTTTAAAATCCCTTGGAATTTCATAAAAAATTACACAAATAAAGTTAACCTTATTGCAATATTTATAAACTTTTGAATTCTTCCGATTATACAACCAAGCATTATCGAACATTAACCACATATCGTCATTGAAGTCCCACGGGTTCTTATATTCACCTGTATCCAGTTTTCGGCTTACTGTTGATAGATCCATAGGTTTTTTGACAATATCAAAATAATCCTACAATTTTTATAAGTTTAATTAACAATCACTGCTAATTATTTACCATTAGAATTTGATAAGCTAAAAAAAATGAAAAGATCGATTACCGGAATGCCAAGAATATCCGGATCAACAGGAATCCTGAACGGTATTGATTCTTCCATACTAAGAAGCTTATCCACGACAGGTTTCAAATTATTTCGTAATTCATTGGCGTCAAATACCTGGAATTATTGAAACTAAGAAAGTCTATGAAAAATTTTTTTGGATATACAGAAGTGCTTCTTTCTACTCCATTAACAGTACTATGAGCATGCGTCAACTAGTTCCTTATATCAGATACCTTATCAGGTAATTCCTTCCTTTCTTCAGTTTTTGTTTCGCCTTTACCATCAGCTTTGATAGTTTTTATTTCCGTCTTAATTGCACTTACGGAAACTTTAATCTTTTCCGCGTTTGCTATATTCGATGTTCCAGGTTTCGCTAAAAAAAAATTATCATTTATAGCAGTGAACCAATGCAAATCTATTATTATAAGCACCTGTTATGAAAATCAACTTAAAACTTTTAGCTAAAATCTTTCCGAGATTTCGGATCAAATCTCCATTCAGTCTGCTATTATAAAAAAACCTTAGTCTGCTCTTTTTTCTAACACAAAAAAATGTCCATTTTTTCTCAAAACGAAAAAATTTTAAGTCCATTTTCAAAACACTCAAAACAGCCTTCCTCAAATTTCCGTTCATCGAAAGAAATCCAATGAAATTAATCACTCCGAAAACCTACAACAACATCCAGAGGCATCTGTCGCACCTGATGGTTCGGTACCCATTGTGACATCACCAGGCACTTCCATTTTTATCCCTGAAGTTACTACCTGACCATTCGTCAGTGCATTTCCGCCTGTATGACAAACACTTTATTTCAAAAAAAATTGCAAGAATAAAAAGAAAAAATGAAAAAAGGAACCTAAATCCTTAAAATTATTGTGAATTTGAAAATGCAAGATGAATTTTAAAGAAAACCACAATGAATTACTATGACTGCTATAAATTTGAATATCCTCATGAAAGAAACTCTAACTTATAGAGGTAGACAGCCCATTCATTTGTGGTGTGCCGGTACCGGTGTTTGGTTGGAATGACGGTGTAGTTCGGTTCGGCGGTCCAGGCATATCGAAGTCAACTGAAAACGAAAGTTGAATAAGCATCTAATAGAATGAAAGTTACTGTACTAATGAAATAGTCACTGATTTTAAACATGTAATGTGATTGATAGTTTATGTTAGCAAATCTAATACCGAACAATACTAATTTCTTTCAGTAAAGTGATACTAAATTGGTTCATTAAAAATTTCAGTTTGTTATATTTAATCTAACTCATTGTACTACGTAATGTAAAGGACGAACCACCTGGCTGGGGTGGTTGCATGCCAGCCACGGCACCCGCTTGTCCTTGTTCATGTAGCCGCTTAATTTTTTTCTCTTGCAATTCTTTTTGAATCTTATAAATTTTTTCAGCAAGCAGATGATAATATTCTCCCTGAAAGAAGAAACTTTCTCTTCAAATCGAAAAAACACTAACAAATGCAAGGGTTATTATTAACTCTTGCAACTAATTTCCTTGAGTAAAATCTGATTACAGGCACAATAACTCCGTTTTTGCTATGTAACTACTTTTTGTTGTGTAAATCCTTCTATGCTTACGCGATCATTGGCTAATTCGAACATTTCTCTTTCAACTTTTCGCGCATAATTGACAAGATCTTTGATACGCTGATCGTGGATTGACGCCGGGTCGGGTGACGGAAATATCGCTTCCACAAGTTTTCTAACCAAATGATTACGCAGGTCCTCAGTTACTGCATTCTGCCACGCTTTCTTAACTACCGGTGCATCCGGAGGTGGCAAACCAATGATATCCTTGGAAGTGATGAATATGCCAGAACCTTTCCCCAATGATGGCACCAATTTGTTTGGTGGATTTGGTGATCGAAACGGATCGCTGAAGAATGCGTTTCACAAAGTTTTGAGGATGAATTCATTGAACAACAATCTGCACAATAGCAATGGTTAAATAAAATTTTCAAACATCGAAACACTTCTGGAAAACTACCTTGAGGGGTTGAAATCTATTAGAAAGGCGTTGATTGATGTCGGACCAGACGAATCATACGCTGACATGTTATGTGAATTTGTATTTGGCGGCAAAGCTGTACCAGGACCAGGCTGCTGTTGTTGCTGCTGTGGTTGTTGTTGTTGCTGTTGCTGTTGCTGCTGTTGTTGTGCACTGATTCGATTTGGCATACCCACATTATCAATCTCTGTAGCATTACCTGGAGCACATGGTACTTGTTGCACAGATCCTGCTCCAGGGGTTCCAAACGATTCAGTACCTGAACGGTCTTCTTAAATTTTGTAAATTAAATCCCTAACATTTATAATTACAGCAGGTAAGTTAAGAAAAATTCGAACAACGATAGTGTAATGAAACTATCTAATGGATGAAGTCTAGGATTTACCGGGAATGGTACGCCGGTCAACTGTCTGCGTAACGTTTTGTCTACTTTTCAACGGCGTACATACTGGACAGTCGTCACGTACACAGTTTTTCCAGTGAGAAATGATTTGTCGTGATGATGGACAGTGAGGATCTGTAAGTATTTCGAGTATTATAAGACTACGAAAGAATTGTTCGGCTACATTTCCGTACATGCTATGCTTTCACTCTCCATTTTGCATTTTCATTTTTTTTCCACTTCCAATTTACATGAACTAGTCCGATATGCAGTACACTGCATTATTTCGCTAGTAGTGCGCATGCATATCAAATAATGATATGGTCAGTCCATTAATTCCACTGTTTATTTTAATCTATCTGTTGGATTATTGGTGGAACTTTTATTTTCTGCTTCATATTAAATTATACTTTTTATATATTTATAATTTATATATTTATAATTTCAATTTCACACACACACCTAGCAATTTCACACACTAAAGCGCTCTACCCCAAAGCGATTAATACACCACAACAGTTATATCCGTTCAAGATGTATATGTCGATTCGATCCTATATTTAACAACCAGAAACAAAAAAGAAAAAAAAGCGAAAACATACAACTACAAGCGCTTCCACTATTACATGTCGTCATATGCTGTAATACACCTTTCATCGTTGAACAGTGCTGTAAAGTGCAAGTGTATCGTCCATTTGCGCCATCCTGAAACAAGCATAATTTTTCATAATAATTCGAAAGTCGTGATTCAATTCATTCATAACAACATCAATATTTCAAAACGAAAAAAAGCAGTAGCTCATACTTTCCCCACTTTTGACCCAGTACTCATTGACCCATATTACTGAGAATTAAGAATTTCAGTGCAATAGTGAGTTTAAAAGGTAAAAAAAAAAAAGTTAAGTCCATTTCCACTGAAAAATCTCGTCGTGAACAAAATTCAGAAATCTGGAAAGAAATAAAAAATAAGAAAACACGTGCCGCAGATCGTTCTCGTTGCTGGCATTTATGGGCATGCAAAAGTAGTACCAACTGCAACTGAATAAGTTTTCTTCGTCCAGGGTCCTGATTATTCCCTTGCGTACCACTAGGTGGAAGCGTACTGCTTATAGATGTCCCTTCTCGTGCTGCACTGTTATTCATGCCGGTAAACTGAAATCTTTTTTTTTTTTTGTCCTTAAGCAACTTCTTTCAGCCAGTCGAAACGCCAATTAAAACGAAACATTGGAAAAAGTGACATATCACTGCTCTGTATTCGTATTTTGAAGAACTTGAAAATCCAAATGTCAATTCAAAAATGCATCGTCTGATGAAGAAACCAGCAGCAAAAAAGGCGTTTTTACCAAAGGGAAAAGGATTGCTTTACTTAAAGTTTATTTTGACAATTTATGGTCTGTGGAAAATGCTGTTAGATGTTTTTTTATCGACATGTAAATTCTGGACCATACATTTTCTTAGCTTCTGTTAATTTCTTGATGCTTGTAAAAATTTTCTCATTGGTGAATTTTACGAAAATTAAAAATGTACAAAAACAAATATTACTTGTTGCATTTGGCCAGTGGCTGAAGCATTTGCTGCTGACATCTGAGGAGGCGGCAAATTTGGCGGTATTCCAGATTTCGGACCGGGAGCTCCTGCTACCGTCGCTGTTGGCGTACTCATTTGTGGTGGCATTACATTTCCATGAGTTAATGATGATGACGGCGGTGGTGGTGGTTGTTGTTGTTGCTGTTGTGGCGATATTGTCGAATGCTCCATCATATGCGGTATCATCTGAGGATAACAAAAACCGACATGAGG